TGTGGTTGCTGTGGTTGCTGTGGTTGCTGTGGTTGGTGTGGTTGTCGTGGTTGTCGTGGTTGTCGTGGTTGTCGTGGTTGTCGTGGTTCTTGTGGTTCTTGTGGTTCTTTTTGTGGTTCTTTTTGTGGTTCTTTTTGTGGTTCTTGTTGTTGTTGTTGTTGTTGTTGCTGCTGTTGCTGTTGCTGTTGCTGTTGCTGTTGCTGTTGCTGTTGCTGTTGGTGTTGTTGTTGGTGTTGTTGTTGTTGTTGTTGTTGTTGTTGTTGTTGTTGTTGTGTGTTGTTGTTGTGTGTTGTTGTTGTGTGTTGTTGTTGTTGTTGTTGTTGTTGTTGTTGTTGTTGTTGTTGTTGTTGTTGTTGTTGTTGTTGTTGTTGTTGTTGTTGTTGTTGTTGTTGTTGTTGTTGTTGTTGTTGTTGTTGTTGTTGTGTGTTGTTGTGTGTTGTTGTGTGTTGTTGTGTGTTGTTGTGTGTTGTTGTGTGTTGTTGTGTGTTGTTGTGTGTTGTTGTGTGTTGTTGTGTGTTGTTGTGTGTTCCTGTGTGTTCCTGTGTGTTCATGTGTGTTCCTGTGTGTTCCTGTGTGTTCCTGTGTGTTCCTGTGTGTTGTTGCTGTGTGTTGCTGTGTGTTGCGCGCGTGGTGCGTGGTGTTGCGTGGTGTTGCGTGGTGTTGCGTGGTGTTGCGTGGTGTTGCGTGGTGTTGCGTGGTGTTGCGTGGTGTTGCGTGGTGTTGCGTGGTGTTGGTGTTGGTGTTGGTGTTGTTGTTGTTGTTGATGATGTTGTTGTTGGTGGTGGTGGTGGTGCGTGGTGGTGGTGGCGTTGGTGTTGGTGTTTGTGTTGGTGTTACCCCTGCAGCGTTTTTTCTCGGTTCCGTAGTGGTCGAGAATCGTCAAATATGTGGTGTTTTCGCGTGGGTTTTTGCAACTCGCTGGTTGTTGTGTGTTGTTGTGTGTTGTTGTGTGTTGATGTGTGTTGTTGTGTGTTGTTGTGTGTTGTTGTGTGTTGTTGTGTTGTTGTGTGTTGTTGTGTTTTTGTGTGTTGTTGTGTGTTGTTGTGTGTTGTTGTGTGTTGTTGTGAGTTGTTGCGTGTTGTTGTTTGTTGGTTGTGGTTGTGGTTGTTGTTGTTGTTGTTGTTGATGATGATGTTGTTCTTGCTGTTGTTGTTGTTGTTGTTGCTGTTGTTGTTGTTGGTGGTGGTGGTGTTGGTGTTGGTGTTACCCCTGCAGCGTTTTTTCTCTGTTCCGTAGTGGCCGAGAATCGTCAAATAGGTGGTGTTTTCGTGTGTTTTTGCAACTCGCGGAGCAAAAAACATCGTAAATACCAATGTTTTTGGCGGGTCGGGAGCCCAAAACCACGGTATTTACGATGTTTTTTGCCTCTGGTAGCAAAAAGCACGGTATTTACAGTGTTTTTTGGCCAGCACCTAGCAAAAACACTGGTATTTACAGAGGTTTCACCATGTAACAAAATGTGGTTTCTTGATCCGAAAAGAACAAAAATACTGTAAATTACAATGTTTTGAGTCTGCTCTTAGGGTGCGGGGGGGGTACTAAAATGACTAGCAATCTCCTGAATAATCAGGTAACGGGGCTGGCCGCCCTCCCCTTTACTTCGTAAAGTAAAACTCAAGGTAGCCCCTCTGGAGCTACCTTTCGTGATATTGGCAAATCAAATATAATATCAGAATATATCAGAATAATTCAGAATGTAAAATGGGGATAAATGGGGAGGATATGGTAGGTTAATGTAGGTTATGGTAGGGCTACGTAGAGTTATAGGGGTTATAGGGGGGAGGGACCCAAAAAAGTAACATATATTTTTTGGGTACCCCACGGAGATATGTTATAATTTCTACCCCCTAGGGTCCCCCCACCCCAAAGTATTTCCGTGGCTGCGCATGGGGGGGGGGCCTTGGAAAATGTAACATAGCAAATATACCCCCGTGCAATGCCCATGTTACATTTTTTTACCTCCCCCCCCAAATTCCTATATTTCTACGGGGGTATAAAAATGTAATAATATATATTACATTTTTTACCCCCTAGGAGGGTCACGAGCCGCCAAGAGGGTAATAAGCCTTAATTTAAATATATATATATATATATTATAATAATAATAATGATAAATTTAAAATATATAAAATATATTTCATATATCATAAATATATATGAATAATATATTTCAATAAATAGAAAATTATAATATATATATATATTAATATAAATATGTTCAATATATATATATATATTATTATTATTATCATTATTATGATAATAATATATTTAATATATTTTAAATTATATAATTTAGATATAATATAAATATATTAAATAATATTTAAAAATTATATTGTAGGAATATTAAAAATATCCTAACATTATATTTAAAATAAATTATCGGGTTATAGGGAAAGATAAAGTATATTTTATTCATAGGGAGATATATATATATATTTATATATATTTATATATATTTATGTATCGATAATTAAATATTTATTTGATAAATAATTATCAAAGGGCAATGATCGAAAAAAATATTGAAATTTTAATTTCATGTGCTTTATATTTTGGTATTAAGTTGAATTGCAGCTTATCACATGCTGATGCTAGCTTGTGCCACTGGCTTTCGAGTTTCGCCGTCCTTGGTTCTCATTACACAATTAGGATATGTTAGGATATTATTTGGCAAGTAGTTCTCGTTGTACATTCAGTGATATCATTTGGAGATCAGCTTAGGCCACGGACATTGCTTCCCGCACTAGCGTTCACTTGGGCAGAATTGTTTGTGTTGGAAACCTTGCCGCATTGTCAAAGAGCCCTAAATATTCAACATCAGTCTGTTGGGCACAACATAAAGGTCACATTGCGCCTGCCAAAGCTTGTTGTACGGGCTGGCGGTGTATTGGTGTGTTGTACCACACCTAATCAGCAATGTGATCAATGCAATACAAGAACAGTTTGCCGCCAACAGCTCAGGAACGTCCAGAAGTTGCAAACTTACAGTCAATCGTTTTGTTTCCTGCGACAAGAACTTACTCAGATTTTGCACAAATCCTATAGATTCTATGGGCTGCACAGGATGGCAAGCATTTGGTAAGCTCGTTGGAACTCCTGAATCGAACTCAGACAAGGGGGGCTCGGAGTGCAAGATCCCCCAATGGCCTGAAAGATCAAAGCCTTGCAAACATGTTGATGGTAATCTTTTGTTCTGTGTCCTGCATGAGGTGCCATTTTCGACTTGGAAATTGCTGCACCATGCAGTCGCCCAGCTCCTGACAGACTTAGATTCCAAGACCATGAGAGCATTGCAAGCCCAAATGAGAAATTGTTCGAAGCTTAAGTCAAGCGGAGCTTGAAGTTGACGGGCCTCATGACACCAGGCTAAAATAAAAGTCGGCCTTGGCCAAAAGAGATCAAAGGGTGACTTTCAAAAAGGACCACGAAAACAAACAACAGCCTGTATCCCAAGAGAAACTTGATACAATACGCTGCACTTTGACCATGTAAGAAACAGCCCACGGTTGAGCAGGAATGTGTGGACTATAGAAAAGGCGTGACGAGCCTGAAGTTTGAAACTGCAGTGTGAGAAAGCGTTCACCAATTTGAGCAACGAAAGCAACAACCAAGGCAACACTGTGCCTGAAGTAGTAGTGCTGGTGGAAATCAATTCGACGTCTCCTCGCTGGAAGGCATCAGCTTTAATCTATGATTGTGGTACAAGTATATACGTAAAAGTATCTCACTGTTGGATTTGGATGTGTTTGATGCCGTTTTCAATTTATTTTGGTGCAAACGAGCCCAAACCCATTCGAACGGAACTGCAAAACTCCACCTTACAGCAGCGTGCAAACCTTCTACCTTTTTCTTGATGTAACAATGAAATGCACTTGCTACTTCAGCGTCCATTCTTCTCAATGAAAGCCGTCTTCACTGCTTGGATGTTGGTGGTCTGTATTGTGTGAGAGGACCGTTGTGTATGTGTGCATGTGTTTGTGTTTGAGCGCGAAGTTCTTGGGTTGCAACAGTCCTTGGTTTCTGTGTCCACCCCACTATTGGCAGCCCACATCACACTGCTTCACTTGTGAAGAGTTCTCGTTTTACATGTGGTTTGTTGTTGTTGTTGCTGCTGCTGGTGGCGGTGGTGTTGTTTGGCTGCCTGCGGGTGGTCTACTTTCAAACGTGGCCAAATATCGACCGCAGACTGGCAGGCTACTGCAATTGCAGAAGTGAAAAACGATCGAAGATCAAAGCGTCTACAAAAAGTTGTAGAACAAATTGTGGGTTTTGACAAATTAAACTAGGACACGCCCTGTCTGAGGAAAACACTGATGCTCCATGGCTACCATGATGTTTTTTTGCCGCTGGCCCTCCCAGAGGATGGTGTCCATGACCTCAGAATGCAGGATCTGCATTGCTGCATTACCACATACCCAATTTTCCACTCGCAAGGGCTGTCAATCAAACACAAATTCAGGCTGACTCAGGCTTCAATTACACCTCCCAATGACTTAAAAAGACTGATAAATGTCAACTCTGCAAAAAGAAAGACTTTAAAGAATCCATGGCTATCAGTTATGCAACATTTCTAGTAAGAAAACATTCGAAGTCCATTGCACACAACAAATGACCAGACATACAGACGTTTCAGAACATGCTGGAAGAAACAGATATCAAAACGGAACCTGTGCCAAGGTCATTAGTGCACAAATGGTGTACACTTGTGTGTATGAGTACCTAGCTATAAATACATATGCATATATATACATATATATATGTGTGTGTGTATGTATATATACATGTGACATACTGTCATGCGATGTCATCTAATATATCTAACACGATGCAGTCTCACGTACTGCAATGTAGTGTCATGTGCATTTATGACCAGTATATATCGAGCTGCCGTCTAAAACTCTTTGTCTTGGCCTTGTTCAAAACTAAGGGGTATCGTTTTTTGGGGAACCCTATGGCTACACCGGGTTTTTACTTATGAAGATGATGGATGAGGAGCACCTGGTTTTTACTTATGACTACCTCGACCGTGGAGGCTCATGTGTTTTTTGGCTTGTGGAATCTGACATGACGGTAATCAAACAAGTCCAACAAGGCAGTTATTGATGCAAACGGTGCTTATCGAAGGAAGTTTAGAAGTCAAGCACAGATGGGAAAATTCAGAAGAGAAGAGAAGAAGAAAGAAGATCAAAAAAAAGAAAGCCTCAGAAGAAAGAAGATCCAGGTGCGCGAAAGGTAGAAAATCGCGAAACGCTCTGTTTTTCCAATGATTTGTGGCTCCAGGGGGTCGAAAAGTAGGCTCGCTAAACCGGCGGGTGCGGAGCCAGCTGGCCAGATGAGAGACGAAAAAATCCACGCTGTTGTGGTGCGAAGCACGCCGTTGTGGTACGCATTTCGAAGTCAAAATGTACAAAACACACCAGGTTCGGACCACTTTTGGAAGTTGAGATGATGAAGAAGTGCACGCCGTTGTGGCGCGAAGCACATTACCAAGTCAAAATGTACAAAACACACCAGGTTCGGACCACTTTTGGAAGTCGAGATGTCGAAAAAGTGCACGCCGTCTTTTGGACGTTCAGATGTCGTTTTGCGTGGCAGGCGCAAGGGATTGTGCACCTTGTCAAAAGTGAGCAAAACGTGAGGGTTTTGTTGCATTTCCTAAAACGATGGCAGGCGTGGGACATATGCAGAGGATCTGGCAAGATGTCTTTCGCGTGGCAGGCACAGTACAAGAGACATGTTCATTGTTCATCACAACTGTTCGGTGGCCAGGGCGCTGATTTCCTGAGACGGGTTGCATTTTGGAGCATCAGATCTTCAGGTTTGCTGAGATGATTTTGCGTGACAGGTGCAGCACTTCGTATGACCTGGCCTCACTTTTTCGTGGCAGGCGCAATACTTTAGACAGGTGGAATGGAAAAATTGCAAAACGCATTGGCATGAGGCCGTCAGCTCTGCACGCAACTGTCCATTTTTGAAGGAAGTCTCGCAGAATTGCTTCGTTTTTCCCGAGAGCGCCTGCGAAGGGTTCTTCGTAAAAAAGCAGCCGTTATACTACATCTTCACACCTTCACACCTGCAGATCTACATCTTCACACCTTCACATCTGCCGATCTACATCTTCACACCCTCACATCTGCTGATCTAGATCTTCACACCTTCACACCTGCAGATCTAGATCTTCACACCTTCACACCTGCAGATCTAGATCTTCACACCTTCACACCTGCAGATCTAGATCTTCACACCCTCACATCTG